CATAAGAAAATAATCAATTTGTGTTTTATTATATCTGTTCTTATAAATGATAAAATGTTATCTCTTTTCTTGAAAACAGTATTAGTAATAACAAAATCATATGCTAAAGAAAAATCTAAAATGACTCTACCTTCTTCATTAGTCACTCCAAAACCGTAGCCACCATGAATATTCCAAAAATCTTCTATCACTCTACCGACATGTTCATTTAAATCTCTTCCAATAAAAATTCTTCGTTCAAGAGATATCATTTGTATTAAGTCTGCTAAGTCATTCCATAATTTATCTTTAGACCCTATATCTAAACCTACTTGAGCGGCATGGGTACTTATAATATTAAAAATCTTAGTATCAATAATAATCTTAAGAGCTATAATTTTATCTCCAACTCAATTAGTTTTTACAACATTATCTTTCAAACTCTTATCTATAATTACACCTACACCATTTCCAGTGTGACTCTTACAAGAGTACCAAAGTTCAATACCTAAGTTATCAATCTTCTTAACATTTTCTTCAACCCATTTAGTTTCTTGAATGCATAAGATATTAATCTTTCTATGAATCATAATATCAACTAATTCCATTAATTTACCATTGAGAGTGTCTATATTCCAAGATCATATCATAATATTAGTTTCATTAGTTTCATGGACTAACTTTTTTACCACATCCGTCTGTAATGTGGGAACCCTTGCTTATTTGAAACTTCACCCGGGAGTCGATATAGCGGCCCTTGCACACTTTTCACTGTATTTAGGTGATACAACGCGTCGCTTCCGGGAGACGCTCTAACACTTACACAATGATCAAAAAGATTTGTCATGATTTTTTGAACAAATTTTACGTTGATTGTAAACTACCTAATGCAACCCTCTATTTTTCACGTTCAGGCTTGGGACCGACAATGAAAGTATTATAGATCTTATTTTGAACATTAAAAAAAATTATTTTAGCTAAAAAACCTTCTCTGCGAATTTACGAATAGTTTAGATAGAAAATGAAAAACGTGATTCATATATTTCTCTATTTAATAATTCTAATTTTATATTGGTTTGCTAAAATAATAGAAATGCACTGATATTAGTTAAATGTAAAATTGTCTAGGAGTTGAATAAAAGGGTGAACATTACAAGATACTTATATCATATATTAAATATAGATGTATATTCAAATTATAATTAAAGCAAAATGATGGTAAAGTTGCTCTCATGGAGGAAGATATACAAAAGTTTATTTTAGGATCAATTCGTTTGACATTTAAACAACATATGCTTCTGTGATTCACTTGTACTGAATGCATTTCCAACAACACTAAAAAGGTGCAAAGCACGGATAGACCTAAAAGTAATTCGTCAGGCAAAAACAGGCATATACTACTCCTTACCATAGAAACATAATAAAGTAACTATTCCATAATTTAGTAAACTAAGTATACATGAAAAGCATGTATTCATCTTTTATTGTTTATACATCATATCTATAAATGAAGCATTTTTTTTGCTTCTCCAAAGTTAATTTATTACATTATGCGCTTCCAAAGAAATTAGGCATTTGTGCCCTTACAAATTAAAAATCACTGAAGCATTAAGAGTTGGGACCCTTTTAATTTCTATTCAGTCTCTAAGTCTCCTATTGCCAACATTGATGAAGATCAAGGTTTAGGATGCAATTTTTCTCCACTTTGCTATACCTACACCTATAACTCTCACATAGTTGCAGCATCGCCAACAATTATCGAGGATTAGCATAGACAACTATGCAGCAGAAAGGGATAGGTTAATGTGAAGAGCAGAAAGTTATCCTAGCAAAAAGAGTTGCTATCGGACAAGGCTCACTGTTCATTCAAGAAGGGTGAACCTCCAAGATGAATTAATCCCTGCCAAATGGTGGCGTTGGATCTGCAAGAGACTGGGAAAAGAGAGAAGGTGAGAGAAGAAAGCACACAAGAAGGTTTCAATGGTTCAACACGTTGGCCCACATCTATTGTAGGAGAGGAAAACAATCCATTACTGTCACAGAAAAAAAAGAACAAGATACAAGCTACCGCACTTAAGTCTCTTCTCAATAATAGAATTATAGTTTTTGCAGGCTCTTAAAAAGTCAAATAGGCCAAAGTCTTCACTAAAGATTAAGGATTATGAATTTATAAGCAAACCAAAGAATGAGGCAATTAGAGAGGCCAAAAGACTGGTTAGATTAAATGACAAAAATTAAAGAGGCCAAAAGACAAAATATTTGGAGATTCAAAGAGTGAATTTGATCAGAAGTGGAGAAGAAAATCGGGTAGAAATGCTGGGAAATAATACAGTCAATGTCTCTTTAATGATCTAGTTGGCCTTAAGCTAGGAGGAACATGGCAGCAAATCTTATGGCATATAACCGATTAATGGGACCGCAACTTGGTCAGCATTCTAGGAGTCGTTGGATAGTTCTTGGCTTTTAGCTTCGGACAAGAATGTAGTGCTACGTGGACAAGAACATGCAAAATAAAAATACAAAGTTTCTCCACTCATGCTTCTCCCACACTCGTGATGTCCCGAAATCAAAGCTGATGAAAATAAAGTTGGGATAATAACTCCACATTGTTAAGAGTTGGGGTATAAATGTTCTTTGCCTCAGCTTATCTCACAACTGAGATTCTCCAAAAATCAATGACAATAATGTTTTTTGCGTCCGCTTCGCTTACAATCGAGATTCTCCTCAAGTCAATATCAATAATGATCAATGACTAGAATAAAAAAACTCCATAGCATTAAGGGTTGGGATATAGCTTCCACTTCTCCTACACCAATAATTCTATTGCAATTACCAACAAAGGTTCCCATGAATGACTTGGCAATGTTAATGATTGCTAGAATTCAACAATAATCAAGGGTTGGTTGTAATTTGTTTTCTAAATAAAAGGTTAAAATTTCATTTGATTGAAATCACAAGCAATTTTTATATATTAGAAACAAATTTTATTTATATATGTCAAAGACTTTTAAGGATAAATAAAAGATAATAAATCAATTTTGACTGCTTGGAAAAACAATACAGTTTGCCTTTCAATATCAATTCCCGCGAATCTTTTCTTCTTTTCAAAAAACTTTTTTAATAAGCACAAAGTTACCAAATAAGCCTTGGTTAACACCAATTGACTAATTTGAATACACTAATTATACACCATCTTCCTGCTAAGGTCTTTTCATGAGCACAAAAAACAAGGTTATGCTACATAGAGATTTAAATATCAGCTTCAGCACCTTCAAGTAGTTTTCATCAATTGTTATTGCTCACATTAAAAATTTTGGTTTCAATTTTCTTAATTTGTAACAATCATTGCAAAAACACAATTGACAGGTTTTTTAGTATATTTTCACAATGCCAACATAAATTCTAATACTCATGACAATAAACAACATTAGTATTTTATATAAACAAAAGCAGTATCATATCTTACTGTAGCAAATAGCATAAAATGAGTGATGCATTGTTATATGTGCTCGTAGTTTTTTTTTCCAGAATAATAAATTCTAGGGAACTACAAAGTGGCATCATTGATAATAAACCTTTAATATAATAAATGCATGTTTTATGTATGAAAAACAAATGAAACCGTGGCTGGCTGTTGGCATCTTGTGTATTAATCCAAGAGGCTCTAGTTTCACAACTCATGTTTTAATACACTAATCATGCACATTCCATGTTATTGGCAACAGATATATTGGGGGGCATTGTTGAGGTCATAGATGTGTTTTCAAATCCACTCAATGTATAAATAACTTTCACTAAAACTCAAATGCTTGCTAATTTCAAGCTATAATTTTTCGGCAGTTTGAAGTTTTACATATTTAAGCTTGATGAAAAAAAGATATATAATAGATAAATTTACAAGCAAAAAGGTCAGTTTTTTTGGTCCTAACTACACATATGCTTGCTTAGTAACCATTTTAACTATAAGTTACTCATAGGTGAAGCCAATATGCCTTGATCCTAAGCATGCGAAAGAAACAGCAATTATGATGGCAGCAGATGACAGCAAATATCTCTCTGATGAATTGATTGCAAATGTTAGACTAAAGTACATGGTAACAACTCATTTCAAACTAGGAAGATTTATATACATGCGTTCCAATTCTTATGTATCCGCATATCTAATACCTAAACTTCAGTTTTTACATGCACACCACCTCATCTATGCATGAAAAGGTGTAATCACTTTTTAAAGTTTAAAATGATGGTATTTTTGTTGTGATATAAATGTTTTGGATGGTATAAATGTTCAAAAGCAAAGTTTACGTGTTGCATATGTAAATGCTAAAGAATTGGATGCAATGTATGTAAATGCCCCTTCTAACCAATGAGCAATCAAAACAACAAGTTAATTTATCCTGGTAAAAAAAAAAAAAAAAACTTTATGAAGATGTTCTTCGATGATAATTTGACGAGCAAAACAAGGATTTTTTTATCGGATATATAACCAAGCAACTATAGTATTCACCCATGGATAATAGCATCCATAGCAGAGGTTAATTGAGCACGATCAACTTATAATTAACTTCCATTAAACAAATAATGTGCTATTTAGTTCAGAAATATCAACAAAAGGAATTTCATGTTGAATATGGTAGTTTATAATTCTAAATAAATGCAGGGTCGGCAATTTATCATTGATTTTCATTCGAACTAATTTAAGCATTTCCAGGCTCCAATCTCTTAATTCTTCGTGAAGAAAGGCGACACAGAAAACTTCCATTTTGTCCACCCAAAAGGAAAATTCACCCCTTAACTCGTGTCCTCCAATTATACAACCAGTCTCCCAAATGTAAAAGACCGAACACGACAGAATCAGTCATCTACCTCCAGATCGAAAAATTAACACAGAATCAAAGTGGAAAACGACGCATCTTTTCCCTGAACAACATGATGAAACCTAACGACGGTAACCGAAACAAACCATAACAACCAACAACGAAACTACAAATAAATACCAATTAATGTTCGAAATTGCTTACCCTAACCCTCGGTGCTTGATGCTTGGCCGCAGCGACGACTAATGCCACTGAAGCCACCGCTCCACCGAATTAAGAACATGGACCAATGGCAAAAGTACGAAATCATCCCTAGCCAATGGCCGGACGTATTAGGGCATAGTGGTCTTTGTGCTTCTTTCTTCTTATGATTGAGCTCTGATATGATGCTGTTTGTGATGTATAGTAATGTAGGATTATAAATGAAGCAATGCACTCGTGTTAATTCAAATTAATAAATAATTAAGCTTGAAAAATTTTAAATACTCGAATTTTAAATGAACTAAACATGAACATAATCGAACTTGTTCATTTAGGTTCACGAACAAGCACGTTTGTTATTCAGCAAGTAACTTATTTTTATGTATTTACATAACTAAACCCCTAAACTTCAATTTTTACATACACTTCACCTTATATATGAAAATGTTTATCTGCATCTCACTTTTTAAATTTTAAAATGATGAAATTGAAAGTGTTTTGGTCATAATTTGAAGGTCAAACATATTATGAATATGATAAACTTATAGTCGAATAGAGCATCTCAATAAGAAGAATCTAATGAGCTCAATATCACTAAATTGTCACATCATTAAGACACTTAAATATCCTTCAAACACTGTTTGATCAAGGGGATCTCTTCGGACCTTCAAATCAATAGTAGTCTTGATTCTTTTGTTATTTGTTACCTCTACTCTACAAATAGAATACTACCCACCTTATGAGAAGGAAACTAGATCACGGGTAAGAGGAAGACCAGAGCAGGCATAAGATGAAGCTGCATCCCAACATTCTACACTAGAGAGTCACCCAACTTCAGCCGCCTCCATTGCTGCTTTTGACAGCCATCGCATTTCGCCAACTTCAGCTGCCACCGCCTCTAGTCGTCGTTGCCTTCGACCAACTACGGTCTCCACCGCTTCTGACAGCCTCAGACCTCGGTTGCTTTACGTTGCCTCTAATCATTACCACCTCCGGCCAACTCCAGCCATCACCGCTTTCAACTGCCACAGCCCGCTCACCTCCGGCCAACTCCAGCCATCACCGCTTTCAACTGCCACAGCCAGCTCATGCAGCTCCTTACTCTGGTCTACATGACCTACAAACTTTATCATAACTTACCACTACAGTTTATGTGAGCAACTAAGGTCTACATGGGTTTTAACTCATGCAACTCTTGACTCTGATAACTATGATTTACGAGTGTCAAACAACTCACCATTGCGTCCAACATGATCAACGTCGACTTACATTGTTCGCAGCTCTTGCAACTCCCAACTCCGACCCCACGGCTTACGAACATCATCACAGCTCACCATTATGATTTGTGTGACCAACTAAGGCCTATGTGATTCACAACTTATGCAGCTCTCAACTCTAGCCCTCATGACCAACATAAGCCCTCCCAGCTTGAAAGAAGACTAGTACCTGCAAAAGTGGGAGTTCCAGCCCAACATCCTACACCATAGAACATACCAATTATGATTGTTTCCATCACTTCGAGCCACCGAATCCCTCCCGCTGGCCTCATGTACCTACAACAACAGGCCACTATCAACCTCTCGCTTCTGCAGTGACCGACCAACGCCGCTCATTAACTATGGTTGTCATCATTGCCGCCTTTGACAACTGCCACCTTCACCTCAAGTCAACTCCTGCCACCGCCAACTTTGGCCAACTCTAGCCATCTCCTCTACCAACTTCTACAACCGCCGCCCTTTGGCCAACTCTAATCTCCACCGCCTTGGTCAACTTCGATCGTCGCTACCTCTGGTACCACTAGTCGTCGCCGCCTCTAATAGCCGTCATTCACGTCCATCATCGATTATAAACGGCCTCACTTGCTCTATTTAGCAAAGTTTCATGTTAATTCATAACATGCACTGTGAAATCTCAGCATAAATTATAAAGTAACAATGCACCCCACTTAAAAATGCAACTGAAATAACATAACAATACACACCTAAAGATGATGGCTTTCTCCAAAATCTTAAATATCCCTCTGTGCAGCTTCCGACTTCGACCATGCAACCTACATATATCATTAAAACTCACTGCTACAACATACATGACCAACTACGACCTTTGTGGCCACAACTATTGCAACCCCCAGCTCTGGCCTCTATGTTCTAAGGATGTCATGACAGCTTACCGCTATGACAAATGTGACCAACTACGACCTACATGGTGCACAACTAATGCAACTCCGAAGTCTGGACCCTGCAGTCTACTGTCATAATCATAGCTCGTCATTATGGCCTGTGTAGTCCACAGCTCGTTCCTCTATGTTCTAAGGATGTCATGACAGCTTATCGCTATGACAAATGTGACCAACTACGGCCTACATGGTGCACAACTAATGCAACTCTGAAGTCTGGACCCTGCAGTCTACTATCATAATCATAGCTCGTCATTATGGCCTGTGTAGTCCACAGCTCGTGAAGCTTCTGACTCCTACCTCTATTGCCTGTGGACATCATCACAACTCACCGTTATAGCTTATGTGGTCAACTATGGCCTACAGGGTTCACAACTCATGTAGCTTCTGACTTCAATCCCCACCACCTACACACATCATCAAAGCTCACCACTACATCCCACAAGACAAACTATGACCAACGTGGTTCATAGCTCATGCAGCTCCCGCTCCGACCCCGTGGCCCATGGACATGTTCACAGATCACCACTATGCCCTACGTGGTTCAGTACCCTTGTAGCTTCTGACTTAGGCTAACGATACCAACAGATGTTGTCATAGTCAGAACTATGCCATACATGGCCAACCACTGCCAACATTGCTCACAGTTAGTGCAGCTCCAGACTCTGGCCCTTGCGGCTATGGGCGTCATCGCAAATCACCACTATGACTCATGTGATCAACTACGGCCTATGTGGCTCATAGTTTCTTCCTATTATGACCTCTATGACCAAACAACGCTTCTGAAGTAACCATATGTGATCCAAAAGGTTAGCTACTATCATGGCTTTCAATTATAACCTATATGACAAGCTAGTGCTACGCCCACCATCTACAACATTCACGACGAACTACTGCTACCATAGTAATCAACCACAACACTTGCAGCCTACTATCAGTGAGAACTACATTCATTACTGTCAGCCTATGACTATTAACGAGGAACCACTGTTATATATTTGCAATGATCTTTTTTATAACTCCATATCCTTCAATTTAGGAGAAGAGTGGACATATATACTCACTATTCGTAGTTTTTTTCCCTTTTTAGAGTTTTTCATGTAAAAATTGAAGTGTCTCCTACTTCTTCCTTCTCTTTAAATACTTGAGTGTGTGCTGGGGTTTACATTCAACATTAAGATTTTAATTCATTACTCTACTGCCAAAGACATTCTGACACACATTAGTTCGAAGCAAATTTAGTCACAAACAATGCAAGTTATTTGGAACCAATTTTGGTCACAAGACAACTATGCCAAAAAAAATTATCAAAAAGTAGTTGCAAGCTACTCAGTGTTTTAGGTTCTTACTTACTATCGATATCAATCATAAATTAATTGCAAAGACCTGAATTAACAACAAATATAACATATTTCTATATTCTTTTATACATGTAAAAATATATAAATATTAATGCATCACAACGACTATTTTGCACAAGTTAATAACCATTTTAATGGTAATATAAGATTAACACAAATAATATAAACATAAACACAAAAGGTGCAATCAATATAATGCACAAACATAATTAATAAGGCTAAACATTCAAACTAAATTTACAAATCAAGACATTTAAGTTTACTAGCAATGCATTCTCATATTTATAACAAATCTTTCATTTATAAAAAGGCCAAGGAAAAAAAAATTAATTTGTGCACATAAAACATTATTTTGAGTAAATTTATAGGCACAAAACTAACCACCACCATCATCATCATCATTATTTTGAGTAAATTCCAAGGCACCATGTTTTTTAAGAGCATGAATCATATGACATTAACCACATACTATTGAACCAGTTGCTTGTAGGGATGTAAACGAGCCGAGCTTGAGCGAGCTCAGGCTGGGCTCGTGTTCGGCTCGTTCGAAAAAGACAACTATGCCAAAAAAAATTATCAAAAAGTAGTTGCAAGCTACTCAGTGTTTTAGGTTCTTACTTACTATCGATATCAATCATAAATTAATTGCAAAGACCTGAATTAACAACAAATATAACATATTTCTATATTCTTTTATACATGTAAAAATATATAAATATTAATGCATCACAACGACTATTTTGCACAAGTTAATAACCATTTTAATGGTAATATAAGATTAACACAAATAATATAAACATAAACACAAAAGGTGCAATCAATATAATGCACAAACATAATTAATAAGGCTAAACATTCAAACTAAATTTACAAATCAAGACATTTAAGTTTACTAGCAATGCATTCTCATATTTATAACAAATCTTTCATTTATAAAAAGGCCAAGGAAAAAAAAATTAATTTGTGCACATAAAACATTATTTTGAGTAAATTTATAGGCACAAAACTAACCACCACCATCATCATCATCATTATTTTGAGTAAATTCCAAGGCACCATGTTTTTTAAGAGCATGAATCATATGACATTAACCACATACTATTGAACCAGTTGCTTGTAATATTGGCTCCCGCTAGATCATTGTGAGATAGATGTCTCGATACATACAATGTGATAAAACTTGTGATAAGTAGCACCTTCTTCATAATAAATGATATCAATTAATAAAAATACAGTAAGCAAACTATGTTAAAGCATCAATTAATTTAACATGTAAGATAACTAACAACTAGAAGTGAATTTTACTAAAAACTTAACATAACTAGTATTTATCAAAGTGAATAAGTATTAGAAATTCAATGAAGTCTAGATCAATAATCATAATCTAGATTTATTCATGTGAATAGTTTATAAACATTAAGTACGACACTTCACTAGTAGAATTGGATGTGTGAATTACTAACACTCAAGTTACACAACGTTTTGAACAATAATACACATGCTTAAGTTAGAAAAAAACTATGTAATGTATGAAAGTACACTTGTATACACACAAAGAAAT